AAAAATTTTAAAGTGCCTTTTTATCATTTTCAGATTCTTTTATCTCTTTTAAACCAAATCCCATACCTCTCCCCACCTTTTGCTTCCCTCAAAACCCTTTTGGAACATTTAAGTTGTGTATTGGGTCAGTTTCCCCAGTTGGTTAAGAGCTGGTATACTATTAGCAAAATAACTCAATGACAAAACTTTGCTCATTAGTTCTTCTTTTTTTTAAGTGGGGAATAGAGTTTAAAAGTTCAGAATAATTAAAAGGCATACCAGAAAGCCCATGTTACGAATTAAGTGGATAGTAGATGAGTTTTTGGACATTTGCTCTTTCCAGAAATAAGAGTTCCCGCTTCCCTAGGCAGTTTCTAAACAAATGCTGCTTTAGATAATGGCTGCCCTTGAGTAAAACTCCAAGAAAACACAGGACAGTGATTAAGTGTGGCTGTGTTCTTTGTCATCCTGGGTAAACACGTCTTGTTCTCTGTGGTGGGCACACTCTTCCCTCTGCTGATCTAGTCCAGAGTGTTTCCCTGTTCCACCTCTCCCGTTGTCCACATGCCAATCCAGATTTGGGATCTAGTACTGTGGTGAATGTATATATTGAACGTCTGGGACAGGAAGAATTGCAGGGGTTGTTGAGAGGAACCTGGAGGCCAGCTGGGAAAGCATAGGAGTTTGTGGAGTGTGGCTGTCAGCATGAGGCTCCCACAAGTACAACCTCATTGGGCAACTTTGTTTTGGAGTCTTGGCCATAACCCTAGACTTTATACTGCAGAAACACTGGTGTGAGCTCAGCAGGCAGTGTTTGATTAGATCTGGAGGTGAATTTGGTACACAGGTTTAAAACAACCAGGTTGAGGGGCAGTAGATAGACATGGAAGCAATAACTTTGTGCCTGTGTTCCCAAGATGCTATGATCTTTCAGCAAGTTGGCCTTGCTGAAGTGTTATGGTCCTTCAGTAATATTAATATAACTACTTTTCCCTTTGAGTAAGAACTTCTTGTTTTATTTCAATGGACTAGATTTTTTTTAACTTGGAAGTTTACTCATTTTAAAGGAATGTAAATTGTCCCTTGTTTTTCTTTTTCCCTCATAAGAAATGAAAGAGCTCAGACAGATGGTTAAATTGGTTTTCTGTTTAAAATGTACTTTATCTTACTGAAAATGCTTTTCCAAGGAAATACTTGGGTTTTTGTTTGTTTGCTTGTTTGTTAGAGTTTGCTAAACTTTGCTGAAGGATTGAGCTCTTCCAGCCAATGGTTTGCTAAGGACTTTTAACTTTGGACATCATACTTGGTAAAATCAAACCACTGAATTTTTAAAGGCTGCCAGGAAACTTGAGGATTCAAAGAAATTTGCATATTGCATAATTCAATTTGTTTTTACTCAATTTTCAATGTAATTTACCCTATAAGATGAAAGTTTGTTATTGGACCATTTAGTTTTTATGTATGCTACCTTTTAAGATATTTTTGCCCATGCCTTGGAAAATGCCACTGCTTTCTTTCCTTCTTTTTTCTTGATTTCTTTTCTTTCCCCTTTCTTCTCTTTTGTTCCTCATCATAAAGCTCTTAATTTCTTTTTTAATGTCTTTTTATGTGAGCCATATCTTTCTTGGTATTTCACTCTAGCTTGGAACTTACTGTGTGTAGTCCAGTCTGGGCTTGACCTCACAGCAATCCCATTGCCCCAACTTCCTAAGACCTGGAATTAAAGACATGAATCAGCACTCCTGGGGAAAACAACAACAAAATCCAAAATCCTCCTTTTGAAAAGAAGTCAATAACTTAAAATGATTATGTCAAATAGAAAGCAGTTATAGCCAACACATTATTAAGAACTAGAAGACTATTGCTGGAGTGTGGACTGGAAGATTGGCCAGTCTTAGGATACAACATTGGGAACTTTAAGACAGAGAAAATGGAATCTTGTGTGACCAGGTGTGTGTGTCAACTCTAATTTTCGGAACAAAGTTTTTCTGTCAGTTAGTTGCTTTTCAAGTTAGTCATGTTCTGTTATTTGGCCTTGAAATAAATTTTCTTTTGCATGAATTAGTATCTTGCCTGTGCATGTCTTTGCACCATGTGCATGCAGTGCCTTCAGAGGCCAGAAGATGGTGTTGGATGCTCTGGTACTAAGGTTGCATATGGCAGGAAGATGCTATAAGAATGCTGGGAATTGAACGCATGTCTTCTGAAAGAGCAGCAAGTGCTTCAAACACAGCCATCTATCCAGCCCCTTGAGTTTTATGTTTTCTACTGAAAATCAAATTCTTTAACATCTGTTTTCAGTGTCAAGGAACAAAGAGAAATCTGAATGTAACTCTATCTGAATCTCACTCAGGATATGAGAACCCTAAACATAATGTTTACATTTTTAACTGTATTCATCTGTCTTCACTGTTGAATAGTGCTGCTATATTAAGATGCCACAATTTATTTATCCATTTATGTGATAAAAGATACTTGTTTAAATTAGTTTTGTATTTACACAATTAATAAGCATTTATGTACAATCTCCTTTTAAAATTATTTCCTTTATTTTGAGATTATATTTTTCCCTTTCCTCCCTTCAAGCACTCACATATTCCCCTCCTAGTGCTCTTTCAAATTCATAATTGTTGTTACATTATGAATTACATTTTTAACAATGTAATTGTTTGTTTTTTACATTAATTGTTATTACATACATATGCATGGACATATATCTTCCTAAATTGCTCAGTCTATATAATGTTACTTGTGTGTTTCCAGAGCTGAACATTCGATATTGGAAAACCAGTTGTTGTGCTCTGGAGAAGACAATTTTGTCAGACCTCAGCATTCTTTAGTTGCCTGTAGAGTTTTAGAGAAGCAATGAAATGGAGCTAGAATCCCTTGGTACCAGGCTGTGAGATTCCTCATGAATCTTGCTGGATAGACTTCCAAGTGGTTGTATCTATTAATACTTCCACTAGAGTATATACAATTTCCCTTTTTTGCTAGGCTTTCTGTTTAGGCTACATTATTGGTAAGATTTCACAGGTAAAGCTTTCCTGTCTTATACAAAAGACACTATCTTGAAGCATATTTCCTGGTCCTCTGCCTCTTATAATCTTCTCACCCATTCTTCTGAAATGCCTCCTGAGCTTTAGGTCTAGGGGTTGTGTTGTAGATACATCTATTGGGGGTGGGTACCCTCCAATGGTTCTTCTCTGCATTTTGACCATTGTGGCTTTCTGTAATCGTCCATCTACTGCAAGAAGCATCTTTGGTGAAGTCTGAGAGCTATAGCTAGGTTTACAGTGTCTGGCAATAATTCTCTTCTATTAAGCAGGCCTTAAGTCCTTTTAGATGACTGTTTGTTACCCTCAGTGCGACTTTTACACCTTTTGGAATATCTTCTGCCAGTTCTAGTGGTTGTTGTGTTACATAGGCATTCAGCTGGGAGAGACTATTGATTGTGTTTTTCCCTTGGTGGCTTACATAGATCCTGTAGTGCTATGAGAATTAATACTCGGGAAGTAGGCTTCTAGGTCAGATCCGGCTCAGTTTCTCCTCTCTCTGAAGTGTCTGGTGTCTTCAGCAATAGGATGTCTTCAATTTCTAGGAGTCAATCAAGGGCAACGGCAGTAATCTATATTGTTAGAGTGCTTTTTGGTCTCCTCTGACCAACAATTCAAAAGATGGTTTCCCATGACTGGCACTGGGGTTTTGTTAGATGCTTATGGATTTGGGGGGAGTATTGTCATCCTAAGTGGCATAACTTCATTTAAACTACATACATGTGAAATTTATATATACATAATTTTAAGTAAACATGAAATAATATGATTCCATATGACCTTTTCAAGCAGCTTTAGTATCATTTATCCCTCCTTTCCCTCTGAATTGCCTTCTTTCTCCCATCCCTTGTTCAGTCCCCTCCCTCATTTTTCCATTACCCCCTTCATATCATCTGTGGTGAAAGCCTTTAATCCTAGTGCTTGAAAGGCAAAGACAGGTGGATTTCTTTGAGTTCAAGTCCAGTCTGGTTTACATAGTGCAAGTTACAGGCTAGCTATGGCTGCATAGGAAGACATTGGAATCGGGGAGGAGGCATTGTTTTTTAACATGGACAACCAATAATTCACTACTCCTACATTACTCTTCATGGCTTCCTCATTCAAGGTGGATATCAAGATATCATATGAGTGTGAGACTCCTTCTGGGGTGTCAGTTCTGTGTCCTTGCTATATTTCTGTTATGATTTCACATTGTATTACTTAGCACACATTTATAATAAATGCTGTTACTAGCAGATAGTGAGCATTATCTGAACTATCTTAATTTAGTATGTCTGGATTATCTTTAACATTTGTATTTTTAGAGACAAAAGCATGCTATAAAACAACATGATTCAAAACCAGCATATTTTGTATGATAAATAAAACAATTTTGATTTTTCAATTAAAAATAAAAGGGGACAGTTAAAATATACTCATATACATATAATATATATCGAATGTAATTTTTCTTGGGATTGCATTGGAAATGTAGAAGAATTTGGGAATTTTCAGATTAGTTTTATTTAATTTCTAGTCATCAGAGATTATTTATTACAATGTCAACTTATTATTATTTCTTTTATCTTTGAGACTTTCATTGTTTTATATTGACTCACTAATAAAGATATTTCCAGGGTAAATTCATTGTTAGGGATTAATCTAGAATTGGCATTTTTCAAAAGAGTGATAACATTCATTTCAGGATATTTACCGAAGCAGAGAACTCTGTTCTATGTAATAGTTCTGGCTGTGCTAGAATTTGCTCTGTAGACCAGGCTGGTCTCAAACTCACATACATCATCTTGTCTCTGCCCCCTAGTGCTGGGATTAAAGGCATGGGCCAACACTGTCCAGCTCTTTATAGATATTCTTACATAAAGTTTTCTGTTTAAACATGAATGGTCTTTTTTTAAGATTGTTTCCTCTGCCAACTTACTTATATGTGCTTTCAATAAATATGCCTCTAATTGCTTTGTAGGTGGCAAAATGCTGATCAGTGAAAGAGCCTATTGCTGGCCAAGAGGAATTGCTCGAAGTAGATCTGAAGGAAATTTGGTTGACATGGAAGCCTCGAAACTCTCAAAAAATCATAATATTACAGGTACAAGAATTTCTAATATGGTAATGTTTCTGTGTAATTAAGTCAAATCATTTCCTTTACATATGGAATGTTTGCCTCTAAAGAGTGTTATAGAAGATTTACAAAATGATCAACTACAAGTGCTATCATAAATAGAATATCATTAAAGATAAATATTTCCTTAAGAAAGGACACTAATAGAGGCTAGAGAAATGTCTAGATGGGTAATATCCTTGCCACTTCAGCATGAAGACAAGGATTTATTTTGCCTATATACATTAAAAGTCAGGCATGGCAGATACCTGGAGCTTATTGCCCATCAAGTGTAGCTAATCTGTGAGCTCCAGGTTCAATGAGAAACCTTCTCAAAAAATAAGGTGAACTCCAGCAGAGGGAGACACCTGATATTGACTTCTGGCCTCCACATATAAATGTAATTGTATGTACACTCCCCCACACCCAATGCACCACACACACATGCACCACACACACACACACACACACACACACACACACACACACACACACACACACACACGTATACACACACATGCACCACACACAAATGTACCACACACACATTTATACACATATACATACATGTACCACACACACAAATGCACCACACACACATGTACACAGACATACATACATGTACCACACACACATGCACATACACAAATAAATAAAGCATACTCACATATTATATCATAAAGAGGCACAAATTCATTAATAAATGAATAGTATGTCCTGCAAATATTGTAAACTTGAGGGGAATGGAGACATTCAGGGACTGAAGCAGCATAGTAATCTTCGCAGAGCAGAATCCAATTAACCTTGATACTCAAGGAGGTTTAAAAAATGAGTTTTTGAGAGAGTTTGGGGTATATGGATTTTGGATGGATGATTGTCCCGCCCGCTATATGTTCTCGCCGGCAAGAAACATACAGGACACTCGGATCCTTCTGCAGGAAAGCTTTAATGCATCTTGAGAGTGGGAGAGCATAAGCTTACCAGAGCGGAGACCCGGAACCAAGAATCCCGTTCCTTAATAAAGGCCGGCAAGCAGCCGCCTGGGATGTGTTACCCTATGAATGGCTTCAGCTCCTCAGGCCAAATGAGCCACGGGATAGGCAGAGATCAAAGGAATGGAAATTACCCAGCGCCTGTGAAGTAATTTACATTTGGTGTCTGCAGGCACCATCATTGTAATGGAGAATGCAGGAACGGCTCCCTACATATCCCCCTTTTTTTATTAATTAATGATAAGGCTTTATATTTTTACAAGCAAATAGGTCACCCATATGTTGAGGGATAGAGGCAGAGGTTGTACCTTCCCAAATCAAACATTAAGACTGTGTACAAGAGTCGCCATCAGGCT